ACTACCGCGGCAATTCAGTGCGCAGAGGAGCGGCAGGGTGGAACCAGCAGCGCCCTCAAAGTGCGCAGCAGCAAGTGGTGTTTAGTCTCTCCGTGTATGCGTTTGGGTGTGGAGAAGAAAGTAAGGTGAAACCAAAAAATATATATATAAATAATAATAATAATAATAATAATAATAAAACGATGCGCGCCGCGCAAAGAACAGTGATAATCCATGGCGAAGGCCGAGCCGATAAACGCGTGAGCCATACGATCACACACTCGCCGCTGCCCACAAGAAACGCCAGTCGCAAAAAAGCCGGCGATAGCAGCGATTATTGTGCGCAGCCCAAAGAAACACCCACACGCACGGAGAGCCCGCAGTGTGGGACGCCCCCCGCATAAATCAAAAATAATACAAAACAAATTCATAAGCACCTCGCTTACCGTCTCCCCCGCCCAGCCCCTTCAAACCCCGCCAGCGGCAACACGCAGTGCGCATGCCGGCGAGACCTCCCATCACGGCCCCCACAAACTCCCCAACGCCGCCCACTTCCCTCGCACACTGCAGCAGGAGTGGGGCGTAGCATTAATAAAATTAAAAAACGTTGAACACTAAAATAACGACAATAAAAAACGGCAGACGTCCGTCACCATCCGCTCCAAGCGATACTCGGCACCAAATGAAAGAAAGAAAAACACCACAATACACATGCAGCGGACGTCTTTCACTCTGCAGGCTCTCCGTGCATCCCCCAGGCACACACTGCCGTCACATCTCTCTCATCAGGGCCGTTCATGATGATCCGGCGGGCGCCCATGTCCTCCTCCCTGCCCCTGCAGCGAGTTTCGTTTAGGGACGACACGGCAAGCATGCCCCACCCAGTGGGAGGCATCTTGGCGGGCAACATCTTCCTCCACCCCATCACGTCGCAGACAATATACCCCCTCATCTGCATGGAGACCTCCAAATAAACTCTTCATCGCCGAAGTCGAGTAGCCAAAGAAGAACACCGTCTTGGTGGTCCTGTCAAACAGAAACGCTCGCTCCCCAATGAAGCACGCCACCGCGTGGAGCTGCTCGGCGTCATAGTGCAGCAGCTGGTAGAGAAGGTACGAACAAGCAGCCACCGACTTCCCAAACCCAGGCGTCCCGATCAAGACACGCCGCACAGACGCCGAGTTCGCCCCGCCGTGCGTGCCAAACAGCCCGGCCAGATCGCCCTCAACGATCTGCCACACCTGCTCCACCTCAGAGTACACACAGCAGTCAGAACCACATCCTTGCCGCAGTGCGTACGGCCACTTCTCGGAGGTGAGCACCACCGGTCTGGGACGTGGTGGGCGGAACTGCGCTGCACCGTCATCCATGAGAACAGTTGCCCCCTCCACTTTGTACTCCCACAGCTGTGGCGGCCTGCCCTCCCTCAGCTCCATCCTCATCCCTCCTCGCCCGTCGGAAACTTCCATGACGTGACCCCACCCCGCATGGCAGACATCCTCGTAGTGTCCCTCCAACTTCTCCAACGTGAAACTCACCACAAGCACCTCCGCTGCAGCGAGGGTTGTACACAGCTCCCTCCGTGAAGGAGGAGCGGCGTCAGTGACGGCTGCTTGCGCCACCACCGCGGCGCCACGACGGACGCTGACGTGCACAGTCAAATAATTAACCAGCCGTCGCAGCAACCACGCGGCAGCGGCGCACTTTTTTTTTCACCTTCTTTTGCATTCCCGCCTCTCACCCAGCAGTAGGCGTCGCGCAGTCCGACGCCCAACGCAGACGCATCCTTCCGCGCTCGTTTTAAGCGCCCAAAAAATCTCCGTGTCGCGCCGCCCAAGATTCTCCCAGTGCTGGCCGCCCCGCCCTCTCTGAGGAGTGGTCTACGGCGCGTTCACTGACGGGCCACGCAGCGGTCGCCAAAAAAGGATGGGAAAATAATACACGCGCACGCCTCGCATGAGCAGCTCCGGTGGAATCGTCCCCTGGCAGCCGCAGCAGCAGAAAACGGCCTCTCATTTTGGGGTCTGGCTGGGGGGGAAACGAGGCGGCAGGGGAAGATGCGTTGGGTGGCCCTACCAAAAATGCGGGCCGCCACTCCTCCTCCTCCCACCCACACAGACAGACAGTCAGACGGCACTGCCAGCAGCTGTGGTTTATTAACAGCCAAAAGGAGGGCACAACGTGCGAAGGCGCACACCCTGAAGCATCGGCCGTGCTCCACTCACACTTCCACGAAACAGGAATAGCCCCCAGCAGAACCATGTCTAACTGAGGCGCAGCATCCAGTAAAGCACGAAAGCAGCAAGAACGAAGAGGTGAGGGAACAGTCGATGCCTTCAGTCTCTCGCACAGGCGTGAAAAAAAAAAATCCCCTCGACACCAGACTACCAACCACGCGCCCCGAACCCAATGCAGCAACAGACGGCTACGCACCCCCGTTTTCTCCATGGCGTGTGAGTGACGGTGAAAAGGTGAAGGCGCGGCCGGCATCTTGCGGTGTCCCTCAAAAAAAATAATCTTTTCCCAGCCCACCTTTGGCGACTCCTGCGCATACGCAAAGCAATACAACAGGAAAAAGACGATCCACAGCACACTCACCATACGCTGCAAACCACAATGCACGACCCAGTCATTCCGTCCGAACGCTCCAACAAACATAAAAAATACAAACACAAACCCCGTGAAGTGAAGCCGAAGCGTGGGCACGTCCACCGGGCAGTGGGGACGACCAGCACACACACACGCTCTCTCTGTTCCCGTACAGCACACTCCAGAGAGGAGGAGGGAGAAAAAGGTGGCCCATCAAAAGCGATGAAAGCCCAAACAATTAAAAATATAAAAACGGTTACGGTGCTCTACCCATGCAGCTAAGCAGGACGGCGGCAGCGGTTCGTCAGGTGCAAATATATATATATAAACAACGGGCCCGCATGAGTGGACGTGCATATATGAGCACATTATGTGTGTGCCTCGTGGGGTGGGGGCGAGGGCGAGAGCCTGTGCAGGAGAACACACCCAAAGGGATAGAAGCAGAGAAGGACGAGCTGCGCACGGCTCTCTTTCTCTCTCTGCGTCCCTCACGCTGCAAGCATTGCAGCACCTGAAAGAAGAAGAATAAATGCAAGGGGGAGATGCAGTGCGAGGGCGCGGTGCTTCTGC